TTTAAAACAAAGACTTTGCAAAATGCTCTAACGTTGTAACAGACTTTGCAAACTTTTTGTTTTCCAGTAAATATTTTTTCAGCAAATATTTGCACTTGTGTCAAGGCGAATGCATCCTGAGTGGCAGAAATATCAATCTGTAAATCAGTTTGTTAGCTCTCTTGTGAACTTGCTGATTGTGTTTTTGTATTTACCCAGGCTTGGTGTGGAAAAACAGACTTTGTTTTCTAGCTGAAAATAGAAGGGGGAAGAGCTGACTACCTTCAGGCTGGTGTCAGCTAGGCTTAAGCTGCTGAGTGTCCATGCCTTCATTTCGGTGTCATTGCTAACCCTGATGCATTTCTCATGTGTACAGGAGGCTGCGAGAGGACCCCGAGAGCAGCGAGGAGGGCACTGCGTTGCCAGGCACCATGAGGAGCCTCCTGCGTGTTGCTCTCGGCGGCTGCTCTGCTCCTCCCCTCGGCAGCCTGCTGCTACCCATGGCGCCTTCTGCCAGGGCGCCCGCTTCCTGAATGTTTCGCACCAACCAGGTACTGTGGTCTGAAGCGCCTCTGAAACCAGGTAAGCTGACTGCACTATCATAAACATATTTATGTATGTTTCATTTTATGCCACAAAGATTTTAAGCAACTCCCTAAATATTTTTTTTGTTTTTTGTTTCCTTTGGGAGGGGAGGCAGGTGCCGCCTTATGGAGAAGATTTAAAAAGAACCCTCTTAAATCATGTCAATAGCTGATTTAGTCAATCAGTTAGTTGTAATACAGTCTTACACTATTTTTCTAGGACTTCTGCATAAGGAGTTCATGTTCACTAGGAATACTTGGGGTCCAAATAGTCTTCACAGGCAGATGATCGGAGCTCCTGCAGACAAGCGTCTTGCCTGGAGAAAGTAATTAAACAAATGCTTTCCTCGGGAAAAGACCTCAGTTCTCCCAGAGATTTGCTAGCCCAATTGTGTGTGTGCATATGGGAAAGGCATCCCTTGAAAAAAGAGCATCTGCCAGCTGGCATGGCTGTATATAAGCTAACTATCCTGTCTAAAGAGTTACTGGCTTTGTTCAGCAAACTTTTTAATGTTGTGCTGTCTTCCAGCTTTGAGCTGCATCTTCACTTATGGGGCGTGTTGGTGTTTTTAATACTGGTAATATAATAATAAAGGTAATGGGGAGGGGGAAGGTCTCTTATCTCGACAACTTAGAGGACTGAAGAACATGCAAAAGTACTTTAATGCTATTTTTGCCCCTTATTCTGCATGAGCCAGGACTCCCTGAAGGAATCAAGAGGCTTCAGCACTGATTTTTGGGTCTTCTGGGTCTGGGACAGATTAAGGTGTATGTGAAGAATTAGTCTGGCTGTACTGATTGTACAGTGAGGGTCAGTTCTCCCACATTTGCATAGTAGGTGATGCGTTAGGTCTTTTGAAGGCCTAGAAAAGTAGCACTGTTAATGAGCAGAACTGTCTGGTTGTCAAAAATACAGAATACAAGAAAAGCCTTTGTTACATGGGTTTTACATGGGCTTGGTGAATATATTTTCCAAAAGGCTTCCATGAGAACTTTATTGAGGAAAAGCAGTATTTATATTCATGCAAGACAGTTATTTAATGCTGAGGGTTATAAAGTCGAATTAAGTCTCTTGGTTGATAATTAAACTGTCGTTTTGTCTCACTTTGGTAACATGAGATTTGTCATTTGGTAGAGGACAAATCAAGGATAAAAACAGTAACTGAATGACACTTTAGCAGTGCTGTTGCCCACATACACACTTTTAAGAATTTTTGAATCAAAGTTCAACCGTATATAAAAGACTACATTCTACTTCTTTTAGAAATTAATGTTTGAATATAGTGGCGCTGGGTAAAATAATTGTAACGTTATCCAGAAGAATAAGCTTCCTGAAAAAGTTAATGTTTCTGTAATTCTTCTCAAGCCTGTAGTTATTGCATTCTCTAAATTAGCTTTCACAGTCCAGCGTATGTTATATACATGTATGTTGATATATATATAGACACACTCATATATACAGATGCACACGTGAATGTATGTTATACTCAGCTGCTTGAGTAGTAAAGAAGAAATTTAGATTCACTTGAAAAGTAAAGTAGGAGGATGCATACTTTCCTATCACTATTTGTTTTGTTGTCTTTGTTTCTTAGAAACAGGAATTTCTATGCAGGAATAAACAATATTCCAGTGTCACATCTCAATCAGTGGCCAGTACCAGATGCTTTAGCAATAAATGCAAAACTTTCCCAAGCCCCGGTAATAGCAGCTTACATAGTAACTGATTCTGGCTTTTTCAGTGTGCTTCCAGTTGGCTTGTATCCTATGGTGTCATGACTTTTACCCCTCTCTATTTTAGGGATTTTTTTCATGCCTTTTCTGTTATAAAGATTTCATTTGAAAAATAAAATAAATCTTTCAAGACTTTTAAACTGATAATATTTTACTGTTAATTTTATAGATGAGATGTAAACTGTTTATAAAGCATAAATATTTTTCTGTAGTTTAATTTCTTTTGTTCCTCCCTACTTGTGTGAGAAGAGAGATAAGGGGTGTGTGTGTTTAATCTTCTATGCCATTTCTTTTTCTTGCCTACATCATATTGCTGTTCTTCAGAATATATCCTCTTACTTCAGAACAGATGAGATGGTTCATTTAAAACTGATTTTAGAATATCTTAGTAACTGGTGAAATTTTGTATCCCATTTTCTCCATCCCAGAAAATGTAGCATATAGTCAAAACTTCCCTCAGGTTCCTTCAGGTCAGTTTCTAACACTTGTTGATACTGTTTCTGCCTCCTGAAATCAGATTAACTAGGGAAAAAGTTGTATTTTTCCTTTGGATGTTCTTTAAATGTTCAATTTGTGGATAGAAGTTAAATAATGGAGAAGAAAGGGTTACAAATAGATTTATGAGCCTGATTTGCTATCTCTTCATTAAACAGTGGAGATTATAATGAGGAGAGAGAGAAAGCATAGTCATAGGAGCGGCTTATTTAAAAATACAGTGTTCTCATCTTTTCTTTTTGAACTATATGCGTGCTTGATGTTGAGATTCTAAGGCTTGTGAAATTTAGTAGTAGTAGTAGTAGCAGTAGTAGTAAATTTCACACTGATTCTTGATGTCAAAAAAGTTGTGCATCTCTTAATGAATGAACAGTGCCTGCTCTAGCTAAAGATAGGCAAACTGAAATGTTTGTCTCACTGTTCACTTACGTTTTGGTTGCTAGAAAGTCAGTAGTAGCATAGAGGGATAAGAGGGTGTGAGAATTAGATTTTTTTTTTGAATGTTTTTGATTTTTATCTTCCAAAGCTGGAGGTGGGCATAGTCCTCCTTATTGGTCTCTGGCCATTGCAAAGAAGTTGCAAATGTTTTCATTCTCGAAAAGCTTTACGTATTTTTATTGTAAGCCATACCTAACAATATAAAGGAAGAAAATGAGGGAACATGTTTGGCGTGTAATACATCTTCTGTCCCATCCCTCCCACCTATTTGCTCTTCTGGTTTAGTCTTCCACACAAAAGCAAGTGAACAAAAAAAGAAAATGGAAGTGACAGTTGTCCTTTGTGCTGGGACCTTAGATTTTATGAAAAGAAAACTTAGAGCTTTTAACTCATATGAGTTTAGCTCTTAACTCATATGAATTGTTTGTACACCTCTAAATTTGCAGTCATCCTCCTAGTGTCTGTGTGCTGTAATCCCTTCCTTACTCTGCCTCCATGCACTGTAAAACTTGGAAAAGGAGAAAGAGAAGGTAGTACTTAATTCTTATTTTTTCAGAGCTTTTTGGAAAGCTTTCTGTCCTGGAGCTACTGCCTTTCCCAAATCATGATTCATATTTCTTATCCTAGAAAGGAATTACGTCTGCTAGATTTCATTTCTGCCTTTGAAAAGTGAGAGTTCTTTTATTTCCACTGAATTATTTTAATGAAAGTCAGCAGCAAACTTCCCCTCAACTCTTCAGTGCTCTACAATGAAGCCATGTCCTGAAGGCGGGAGTATTTCTGTGAGGGATTGTCAGCAGCTACCGTAATTTTCAGGTGGCTAATGGTGCTGCAGTAGTGATGCCTTAAGCTGCCCTGTGGTGTTTGAATGTGCTGCATTGCTGATGAAGCAAATCTGTACAAAGCACGTTGTTACCTCTGTAGCTCTTTTGTTTCAGATCTATATTTTGTTCCTTTAATATATACTTTTTGGATTTGGTTTTACCTAGTAATCTAAGGAATGTAACATGTTTTCAAATGAATAATAAAAACTTCTGTCTCAGAATTACTTATTACTATTAGATCAGTTTAATTTTAGAGAGAAAGATATGAAAGGAAGAGTAGGAATAATAAGTAATGCACTTCTCTGCCTAGTGAGCTTTTATCCTGTCTTCTTGTTGGATATGTTGTCTTTTTTAATGGATCATGAGACTGGGTGTGGGTAGACTTTTTTAAAATCCCAATTCTTAGCAACTATGCATTATATTTTTTTCAGAACGTTACAAGTGGTATGGTATGTTGTGAGAATTGTTATTCTCAAACATCTTAAGATCTTCAACTTTAAGCACCTGCTAGTCCCAGTTCCATTTCATAGCTGTAAGATCTTCAGATTTAAAAATGGCAGAATAATTCCCTTTCTCAAAATTCTTAATATAAGGTACAAATGCTTGTTTCTATCCTTAAAAGAAGAGGGGCATGCAGGAAAAGAGACCTTTTTAAAACATGCAACATATTAACTATCTGGTACCATTTTTAAACATAATAAAATATGTATTTGTCAAAATTCTTTGTCAAGTTAAAAGATACATTATTGAAAACAAGCTCTTACTCGTCAATTCATTTTTTTTTCCTTTTTTTTTTTTTTTAGCTTGGTCTTTAATATGAGTGGCTTCTCAGGCTGCTTAAGTTCTGTTCATAGCAGTGCAGTAAATGTGGTGTAAATGTCACAATGCAAAATTTAAGTTTTGGAGAGATATCTGTGAAAGCTGTTGCAGAACGGGGCTTGCATGCTGGACTCCATGCGCTTTTGTGTAATTGAAGGAATATGGTAACTCGATACATGATTATGTTGCCTGAGATTATGTATGCATAAGAAATAAGTTGGAACACTTGATTGGATTGGAGAAGTTTAGCTGGAAATATCTCAAGGTCCTCAAATTGTAGATAGAATTAGAGATCTGTAATATGATGCCTTAAGCTAAAACTGATAAATTGCAGCTTCTGTAAGTTTCCTGGCATTATTTAGTATAACTTGAATACCTTAAAACAGGGAATTGCTTTACTTCAACTACTGAAGTATATCAAAGTAAAAAACTGAAGTATAATCGAGCGAACTCATAGTCAGACATCCAGTTATTCAGATACTCATATATTAAAGTTTTTAATTTCTGTAGCAATGGTCCAAGCACTTCATCTTTTTTTTTTTTTTTTTTCCCTGTGGTACATAACTTGTACTCGGTGATAGTGAACTGAAACAACTGCTATGTGATTGTTTTCTTTTAATAGACATTCAAAACTAATGTTCAGTTAAAATGCAGATCAGCTGCTCAACTCATTTGCTTCTTCAGAGAAAACTGAAACAGAGGAAGTTAAGCTCGTTTATTCCTGTTTAGAATATATCCCCAGAATACCGTAACTGATTGAATAAGTTGAGATGGGTATGAACTACATCAGATACCTGTTAGTGCTTTTGTGGTGACTGCGCTGATCTGTTGGTATCTGAGGAAATAAGGATGTCGGGAAAGATGGTATAATTTAAAGAAATGTAAAATACACTTGTAGAAAATGTGATTCTGCTTCCTCTTTCCTGAGGAGGGAAAATTACTAAATGTGACTGGCTGTATGTCTGTGTGCAGCAGAGTGCCATTAATATCAATTCAGAAAACCTTAAGTTCTTTGATGCAACTAATACTGTCCTATCTGCTACTCTTACAGGAATTCCTTACAAGTGGCTGACTGTTGGTGTCCCAAAGGAGATATTTCAGAATGAGAAGAGGGTGGCTTTATCACCGGCTGGAGTTGAAGCTTTGGTTAAACAAGGCTTCAATGTTGTGGTGGAATCTGGTGCTGGAGAAGCTTCCAAATTTTTTGATGACCATTACAGGGAAGTAGGAGCAAAGATCCAGGGGACCAAGGAAGTACTGGCTTCAGATTTAGTTGTCAAAGTAATTGCTTTATTAATATATTTCCTATTGCCTTTTTTCCCTTTTTTATTTATTTTTTGAGCCACCTCTGATCTGTGAACTGTAGCTGGAAAGTTCTGAGTTTAGTTGTACAAACAGCCTTCATACTTTCTCATATACTTTGTGATTGTGAACTCAAGTTGTGGAAAAAGAAAGTGGGGCATGTCCTGATTTATTACTACTGATTGATTTGGAAACTTCCCTCTTTCTCCAGGTGAGGGCTCCGATACATAACCCTGAACTAGGTGTACACGAAGCAGACCTTTTTAAGACAGCTGCTGCCCTCATTAGTTTTATCTATCCGGATCAAAATCCAGACCTCCTGAAGAAAATTGCAGAAAAAAAAGCTACTGTCTTGGCCATGGACCAGGTTCCACAAATCACCATTGCTCAGGGTTATGATGCACTTAGCTCCATGGCCAACACTGCTGGGTATAATTTTATTTTTTTTTTATCATATTTTGGTATTGGGTATATTTAAGACTCTGTCTTTATTTTTGCAGGAGCAGGATGAACTTGTTGGAGGTGCCCAGCAACTTTAACTTTCTCAAATCAGAACTGTTTTTAAAAAGAAATAATAAATAAATACTTGTATTCTTTCAGTTCCTGGACTGGTTTGTCTAGTACCTCTTTACTCTGGACTAGATCAGAGCTGTCTTTAAGGCAGCTTGAACATGGACTGTCACTTGCATTTAATCTTGTTGGGAGCTAATGTTAACTAAAAAGAGTGCTCAGTATTAATGCAATGGTCATGGCAGGTGCCGATTAAAAAGACTGAATACTCTCAAATACCTTCATGCTATGTGCGTGGTGCTGTAGACTTTAGGTGCTTATTGACAATCTGATAACCAAAAAACAGTAATTTAATAATTTTGTTTGTTTTTTTTGGACTTCATATGTAGGTGACGTATGCCCATAGGGTATATTAAGGCTTGTCCTAGCAGGAGACTGAACTATTTTGTGGACACACCACAAATCTGCAAGCTATATTCCAAATAAGCACTAGTTTTAGGACTCCAGGCCTAGATATATATCTGCTGGAGATCAGAAAGAGTAGAATGGAACTGTTGAACAATGTCAGTTTTGAGAAATGTGCACTCTTGAGAAAAGATGCAAGTCCATAATAATCAGCATTTTCAGATATTTGTGTTGATGTGTCCAGGCATCCATTCTAGGATGGCAACAAAAGCAGCTGGTACAACAGAGGTAGAAAGGTTAAGCAGCTTGTTCTATGCCATACAGTTCTGCAAAGCTGGGATGAGAGTATCTTATTTTGAAGTTGTTTGCCTACCTAAATGCTTATTGCAAAATTACTCGGGATTCTGTAGTTGCTTGTATGTGATTCCTTCTCTAACAAGCATGAGGGGTGTAGTCTTTGAAGGCAGCTTCAAAGATGGCAAACTTTTTTGTTAGGTTAAATAACCTAATGTGAGTATTATGGACATCCAGCATATTGCTGTCTATGCAGTCTCTCTGAAAAATCTATTCCATCATAAAAAAAGATGTAGTTCTGAATATGAGCAGAGGCAGAGTATTAAATTTGTGCCCCAGAGTAAAACATTAAACTTGTTTCATCATATATATTCTTTGGTATACATTGTGTTCTTCTGATTGCTGTCAATGGATGGCATTAGGTTGTCCCTATTAGGGAAAATACCAAAACATGTTTTTATCTTCCTTACGTGGCAGTTACAAGGCTGTTGTGTTGGCAGCAAATCATTTCGGTCATTTTTTCACGGGTCAGATCACAGCTGCTGGTAAAGTTCCTCCAGCCAAGGTATGTACAATAAAACAAGTATTCTAGTAGAAGAACAGGTCATTTCCTGAGTGCACCTAACAACTGCTTGGGTTAGAAGTTTTTCCTCATTTGGGATTAGTAATTTTTGTTCACTGCTTTTAGTCTTTTTTGGGGGGAAGAATAGAATAATTTGAGTTTAAAAATAAGCAAACAAATAAAACTTCAGACTAACAATGCATGAATGGGTGAGGAAAGATAAAGTAAGTAGCAGTAAAGAAAGGTTTGAGGTGTTAAGAGCTCTGCTGTGTTAAGGGCTATGTTGGAAGGGATTGCTTGACTAACTTGCAGATGAGCTGGGATGAAGAGAAATGAAAGTGTGAAACCTTTTTAAAAAACAAAACCAACAGCAACAAAAGCAGAAAATTAAAACAAACCGAGCGGGAATCCTGCATTTCCTCTCTCAAATTCGTCATAGAGAGGTGAAGTTAAAAGTAACAGTTTTAAAGCTCAAAAAAAAGCTCAAATGCCTGTATCTCCCCTGTGTGAATGTAGTACAACCTGGCTGCTTTCTAGCCAACTCTTGTTTTTGGTTTATGGTCCAAGCATGATAATGGTATCGTTCTAGGTCTTGATCATTGGAGGAGGAGTAGCTGGCCTGGCTTCTGCAGGAGCAGCCAAGTTGATGGGTGCAGTGGTTTGTGGGTTTGACACCAGGTGGGTGTGTGAAAAGAGTCATGGCTCTACAGAGTGAATTTATGGTTTGTCACCATGTAGCTGTTTGTACTGTTGCAAAAGCTGCATTGAGTTGCAACTCCTGTCTGCTGCTTTTATTTCTGTGTAATTTTTCATTTTTTTTCCCCATCATCAACTGAACCTTCCAAGGAGTCCATGTTATTAAATCAGAGGTATATGAATCAAAAAAGACTTGCTTTATAGAAATGAGAAAGGGCTTTTGTCCAGAATTTTGTCTGTGCTCTTCTGAGGACACAAGGCAAAATAGTGGAAAAAGAATCTGTGCTCTCATTTACAGTTTTTGATCCAGGTTAATAGCTTCATAAAACAACCTGGAAAGAATCATTTTACTTGAAAGCATGATCAAAATCTGTCTAGAACTTTTCAGATATAATGTACTATAATGTACTTTATCTTGATGTATGAGGATGCTTGTAGTAAACACCTGCATGTGGCGAATATTCACCTCACCCTGGGAATTTAGTCTGTCATTTTATTCTGTGGTATAACCTGAAGTGAAGCTAGTTTTTTTTTTTTTTCCAAAGGATTTTGTCATCCATCTGAAATCCTGATGATTCTGACCTCTACAGTATCCCGAGACCGCAAAAGCTCTGTTGCATTCCCTGTGGAAAAGCACTTACTGGTATTCCCATGTCAAAGATTAAAGATGGGGACACAGGCTATGGAGTGGTTCCTCCTCTCCCATTTAGGCATCTAAGTTTTAGCCATCTAGTGAAAGCAAGAGGAAATGGGTTAGCAGACTTAATGGTTAAGCTTCCAGCTTTGGCTTTTTCTCAGTGTATCTTCATTTGATTCTACAGGAAACAGTAGGCTGCCCTAATTTCTAAACAAAATGTGCTTGTAAAGAACTTAAAATTAGTGATGCAAATGCTCTTTCTGTTCCATTTAGCAAGTAAAAACTTTTATTCTGGTCTCCTCAGTCCTAGAATGAGCTTTGTTTCTCTTGTCTGAAGACAGCTGCTACTAAAGTGGCCTCAAAACTCAAAGTATGTTGAGCTGCTGCTAAAAAATTGAGTACATTTTTCTTGTCTGTCTATTTGTCTCAGTAGTTCCATGTGTGTATTTTATTTTAACTTGCTTTCCCTAGAGCTGCAGCTCTGGAACAGTTCAAGTCTCTTGGTGCAGAGCCTTTGGAAGTAGACTTAAAAGAATCAGGAGAGGGACAAGGTGGTTATGCTAAAGAAATGTCTAAAGAATTTATTGAAGCGGAAATGAAACTCTTTGCTAAACAGTGCCGGGATGTTGATATCATCATCACTACAGCACTTATTCCAGGTATGTTTTACATGCAAATATGCTAGTTTTTTGAAATGAAACTTTGCTAAACATTGCCAAGACGTTGATATCATCATCACTACATTACAGGTGTGTCTTACATGCAACATGCTAGTTTTCATTTATTTTATGTAAACGTGTATATTTTGGGGGTGTTCCTGCAGTGAAAACAAAGGAATACCTTCAAAACTACCTCTTTGTAAGCATGTACTTTCCCCTTCCCTGATAAATGCTTGTTTTTTAAGCAGTGTTGTGTGTTTTTTTGCAACTGTGATTTAACTAGAAAAGGAGAAGACAAAAAGTTTTAATCTGCAGGGAAATAATTATTAGTTCACTTTGTTCTGTACCTAAAGATTGTCTTGCTGGAAAGGATCTTCTGGAATGTCTGATTTTTTTTCTGAGCTTTCTGTGAGTGCTTATGTGATGTATTCCATTCCTTCCTCATCTGTTGGTTCTTCCCTAAACCTGGAGCCATTTGAGAAGAAAGTTGAAGGATCCTCAAATTTGCTGGCTTTAATATTGGTGCACTGGAGTCTACAGTCAAAAAAAAAATGTAAAATACTAGTTTACATATATATATATATATATATATATATATATAAATCTTGAATTGTTTTAAGAACATAGCATAGCATGGGTAAATATTTACTATGTTGTTGCAAACTAACATCTTTGACTTAATATCTTTATATTTTATTATTAAACAAGTAGACAGTAGATCAAGAATATGTATTTTTCTTGCATATTTATTGTATTGCTGCTGTTCCTGACATCCAGGATTTGTACTGAAGCAAGTCTGGTTGCAATAGGGCTGTATCTTAAGTGAAACACAGTGAGATAGAACTTAGGGCTCAGTGCTTTGTATTGCACAACAACAGTCTTAACCTATAATGTTGCGTTTTTGTCACTTGGCTCTGACTTGAATTCTAAGTTTGGAAGTTGCCTGTTTACTAAGGACAAAATTGGACTTTCTAGGATCTTTGGTAGACTGCCCATGAACACCTTGCACATGTGCATGGGTGCAAGATGTTCCAGCATCTCTTCTCTCTGCCTGTTCAAGCAAGTCCTCCATGATATTTTATCTTTAACAAAAAAAAATACATGTAAAATACAAGTATAGTTTCTGAAGCAGGTGAGAGGTTTATGGAGATATGAAGAGAAAACTTGTCTCCTGGGCTTTATGGATTAGAGGTGTATTTTGTGTTTAACTTGCTATGTCTTGTCAGGTTAAAAAAAAAGCTCCCATCTTGTTTAGAAAAGATATGATTGAATCAATGAAGGAGGGTTCAGTTGTTGTGGATTTAGCTGCAGAAGCAGGAGGAAACATTGAAACTACAAAGCCTGGAGAATTGTATGTTCATAAGGTGAGCATTTTGCACTGCAGATCGTTCCCAGTTTATGTGACTTCAATTTCATACTTTGAAGATTGTATTTTGTAAAATGAGTGCTGAAAATGAATAGCTGCTTATGTCATGTGGGTTTAAATCCTTTTGATTTCAATTTTGTCAAAGTTATATTATACATAATTTGAAGGATGTTAAAGAAACAAATTCCTTTGTATAGGGTTAGGTAGGTTGGTAATGTAAGGAAGCATTATACGCTAGACTTCAAAGCCTGTGAATGTGTCTTTGAGCTAAAAGTGTGATCTGATATCTGGCCTATGTAAAGAGGATGCAGCAGCAGCATCCTCAATGTGCTCATCACCTCCCACAGCTGGTGTCTGCAGTCTCTGTAACAGGCACAGCTGAGCAAGTGCAGACTGTGTCACTGTTTATTTTGGTGCAAGGTCTCTGGCTCCAGGTCAACATGATCTCAGCTTCAAGAGGGTGCTGTCCATCTTTAACTTCTTCAGCTGTTTTCAATGTTAATATATCTGGCCTAGAGTATCAAAACCCCTTGTTGCACAAACTAGAAGTAGCATGAATTAGTTCATGAAACTAAGCAAACTTGCCCTTGACTGAAGGAGCTACATGTGAAAAAAACACGTTTTATATTTTTTCTGATGTTCATAAGCTCAACTGAGAGCTGCTTTTTTATGGCGGGGAGTAGGTATACATGTGAGAAACTATTACCAGTTAGTGATCTGGTTGATGATGTCAAAGCAGCAGACTTCCAAGGTTCTCTGAGGATGTGTAGCCATGCTGCTGTTTTTATCCTGCTCTAGGGCAGTCTGTAGGATGTGCTGGTTAACATCACATTACCTTTGGTATCATTAATATAAACAGGACATTGCATGTATATTGTGAGTCAAGCATTGTGTTTAGCTTTGTGGTTTTCTAGGGTTTGATGTCGCTACTTAAAAGCTGAACCCGCAGGCAGAATATGCAGAACAGAAATAACCAGATACTTATGTGGAGAATTTACATGGAGACATTTTAGGCAGAGGAGGAGTACTCCTAGGTATAGTGTAGGATTGATGCCAAGCAATGGGCCAGATAATCTGTTATCTGACTGCTTTAAGAAGTTGATTTTTGAGAGAAAGGTAATACTTGGAGAGGGCAAACTCTTACACCAGTACCTCCTCCTCTCTTTTCAGGCTTGTTGCATTTGAGATGTTTGGTTAGGTCATGCTAAACTTTAAGACATGAATAATACCCTGTCCTCAGCTACTAATGGTGAAGCTGCAGTAACAGTTCTAACCAAACTTAGAAACAAATTCAGAAAAATAAACTGAACTGTTTGGATATAATATCTCTTCTAGTACATCCTTCTGAAAATGTGTTTTAAGAGATTCAATGAATGTTTACTGCTTTGCTTGGATTCTTATAGGGTGTTACACACATTGGCTACACAGACCTGCCTAGCAGAATGGCTACCCAGGCCAGTACTCTGTATTCCAATAATATCATCAAACTCCTAAAGGCTATTAGTCCTGACAAGGAGAATTTCTACTTTGATCCAAAAGATGATTTTGATTATGGCACCCTGGATCATGTTATAAGGGGAACTGTAGTGATGAAGGTAAGTCAATTAGTGGTATCCTCCTAATTTGTGGTGCAACCTGGTGTTTCTCAGTACTGTATTCAAAGAGGTTGCATGCTTGCATGCTTTACAGGGAGCTTGTTGGAGAGACAGTATATACAATCGCATATGTATTGATTTGAATAGAGCACTATTCCTTTTTTGCAAAGGGAAACCTTTTTGCTTCTCTAAATTTTGTGTATCTCATGATTAAACAAATTCCTAATATGCCTATTAAAAAAAAAAAGTATTTTACTTGAATTTGCAGATTGTATTCGTGTGATTTAAAAAAAAACAGTTATTTAACATATTTTTCAAATACCTACTAGAGGACTGGAAAACATTCCCCCTTTTAATGTTGTTTTAATAAATACATTTTTATTCTTCTAAGAGTAACTTCAGGAAAATAATGCCTAAACTGAACCAAATAGGGTGAGAGAGCGCTCTGTCATGATGATAAACTCTTCAAATAAGTCTGTTTGGTGAGCTTAGCTCACTCAGGTTGAGAGAGGTGGGTAGGATTGTATTGCTGCCTTTGGGTCATGTACTGTATTCACAGGTGTTCTGGGATACTGTTGTTAAATCTTGTCAGAAAAATGTGTGAATCAATCTGGTTCATTTGGTCAGGTTGTACAGTTTATCCAGACTTGCAAACTATGACCTATATGGAAAGAGGAGCCATTCCTTTGTCATGGCTCTGAGATGTTGAGGCTCATCTGAACTACAGGATAAAGAAGAGTGGACTCTTATTTTCTTGAAGCATCTATTATGTTAGGGATAACTGTAAATATCTCTTGTCAGGATGGCAAGGTAATTTTCCCAGCACCTCCACCAAATAACATTCCTCAAGGAGCCCCTGTGAAGCAGAAGACTGTAGCAGAGCTGGAAGCAGAAAAAGCAGCTACTATTACACCTTTTAGAAAAACTGACTAGTGCATCTGTGTATACAACAGGTAGGCAACTTCCACAGCTGAAGAATCACTGTAGGGTGATTCTTATTTGGCTATTTTTTTAAGTGGCTACACATCTTAATCATTCGATTTAGTAACCAACTGCTCTTGCAGTTGGTTGGCTTATATATCCTAGTACAAAATCAGTGCCCCACAATAATTGCTTTTGAGTAGAATAAAACTTTAGAAATTTTACCAAACATATAACTTCAAGCAGTGCTGAGTCATCCTGTGAGTATGAATTTTTTATTTTTTATTTTTTTTTAAATTAAACCTCAGTAAAATACCTCCAATCTTGCAGGACTCCTGCAAGGGACTGCGCACATACTTTGCAGTAGAATCAAATTAATGACATTGCTTTCTTGAACCATTATGGATTGTGAGACTTAAATGCCTACAATCTTACATAAGTATTGGGCACAGGAGTTGTCTTCACAGGTAAATATGGGTAGTTCTTCTTTAATGGTCTGCATACATCAGGAATTTTGTGTTAATAAATTGGCTATTCATTTTCAAGTCTTGCAGCCCTATCTTAACATGATTGTGAATCTTTTACGTTTTTGCTGTAGAATAGGAGAGTGACAGGAGGTGGTGGTAGGAAAGAAAACTATGCTTTCTGCTTCATGTGCATGTGTAACAAGTGGCTGCATAATAATGTATTTTCTATTTTAAAAGAAACACTAGCACCTTTAGAGCCTCTTACTGGACAAAGACAATCCATTTGATCTTGGAAACAGTCTGTGTGCAAAACTTTGGGATTTAGCTCAATACTAGACTAGTGTTGTACAGCGCTTAAACATAAGAAACCATTCAGAAGTCATTGAAAAGCTTTATTTTGGTTTTCTTCTAGGTTTGGCTACCATGTTAGGACTGGACATTGTAGCTCCAAATGCTGCTTTCACACAGATGGTGACAACATTTGGCCTCGCTGGAATCGTGGGGTACCATACAGTCTGGGGTGTGACTCCTGCTCTTCACTCTCCACTAATGTCAGTGACTAATGCTATCTCAGGTAAGCAGCTGCCTCAGAATTGCTTGTTTGCTGTGTGAGCTAGGCACAACTCATTTTACTTGAACTTTAGGTAAAATAGTATGCATTTAAAATTCTAAAAAGCCTAGCACCACTTTGCAACTCTTGAGTTTACTTTCATAAATAGCAACCATATCTGAAACACACACTTCCAAAGAGCATATTTTTCAAAAGAAAGGTGAACGTGGTGCTGCATATTCTTGATTTTTAAGTGACTTTTTTTTTCTCCTCACTCTTAAAGCATCTGGTTTAAAGTTTGTTTTACTTGAAGTGCTGCAGTCTCCCATTTCATTCAGCACGCAATACATCTTCCAGTCTCAAACAGTGTGAGAATTCCCAGCAGTGACTTGTCAGAGTTGTAACTCTCACTCCTTCTCAAAAACAAAAAAAACTGCTTGAGAACTTGATGTCATCAACATGAATTGGTCTTTTCTACTGTACAATCTCTTATCGGACTGGGATGGTCTTTTGCAGTTTGAATAATGAAATCGAAGTTGACCAGTTCTGAGTTCTAGTTGCCTGCAGCTGAAAAAATGTTTTCAGCTCTTTTACTCCCCCACCCTTTTGAGGGATAGCCCTTCAAAACTGTGTTTGCATATATATATAATTTTTTTATTTTTTGAAATATGTTTGTATGATTGGGGGGAAAAAGATGCTTGTGGCTTTGTTTAGATACTCACATGGAGAGTACAGTACAAAAATTAACTAAAATCTGTTTGACTATTGAAAAGAATTTGCTGTAATAGTGAATTTGTTTAGGTTCAGTAACTCCTTTCCTCTTTTAAATAGGACTAACTGCAGTTGGTGGGCTTGTTTTGATGGAAGGACACTATATGCCTGAGAATGCTCCTCAAAGTCTGACAGTGCTTTCTGCCTTTATGTCATTTGTCAATATTGCAGGTATGAGTGTGCGTTTCCTCAGAAGGTAACTTAAAGGACTTGTGTAATTCATTTATTTCTTCTAGTTTTTTGAGTGTATAGATTTGAGAAATACTATCCTGGAAATAGGATACATGCATAAAGGAAAAACTATTACATAGTAGCTATGTGAACTATCTGAAAGACTATCTGAAAGTTCCTTCTGTTTTAGAGTAGGGAGTTAGAGGCAATCCTTTGGGCTCTCAAACTCCTCCTTTGAATTCCTCCTAACAGCTGGGGGGGAGGATTAAAAGGCACATTCTCACCATAATTTCACATTTCTTTCCTGGTGAATATCCAATTTACTAGCTTTGCAAAGGCTTTTGTTGTCAGTTATTAACTTCTCTCCATGTGGTAATATGGTTTAACCATTTGGCAATATGATTTAACCAATTTTTTTTTTTCATAGTTGGCATGTGTTTAGTTTCAGATTTTTATTTTTTTTATTTTTTTCCTGTCAGGTGGGTTTATGGTTACTCAGAGAATGCTGGATATGTTCAAGTGTCCCACAGATCCCCCTGAGTACAACTACTTGTACCTGCTTCCTGGTGGTGTGTTTGTAGGAGGCTATGCAGCTGCACTCAGCGGAGGCTATAATATTGAACAGGTAAGCACTTGGTGCCTAACTTTTTTGGCTCTGAGCCTGCCGTTCCCAGCACAACATGCTTCTGAAATGCTTGCTCTGTTGAGCTTGTTAAATAGCAAATTACTTGTGGTCTCTTCATTAGTTACTTAGTCCCACAGGAACAGTCTGAAATTATGTTAAAGCTTGCAATTGTACCCTAAATGCTGAATCAGCACATTTTAAAAACTTTTAGAATTTTCTCAAGTGACTGGTACCGTGCTATTCATTGGACAGTTCCTAAATTACACCTCAAATATTAAAATGAGTTTGAAAAACAGTATGATGCGTTATTGGATGGATTGGAAGGATTTCAATACAGAGAATGCACTTAGTGCATCTAATGGTGCACTTACATATCTTTCAGTAGATAGCAAAATGAAGACCTTCTGTGTCTGGGAGGAAGTGAATCCAAGCACAGATTTTTGATAGGGGCTTGTAATATGTTACTTTACAAGCACTTTTTCATAATCTAGGTATGTCATATACACCTCAACTAATTTAAGTTTCTTTTTGGAAACAGGATTTCAGATGCATCATAAATAAATTTCAAAACCATTAGGACAGTTGAATTTTGTCAGTGTTAATCGGACTAAAGAAAAACTTGCTTCTGACCTTAGAGAAAAGTTGGTTTGACCCAAATTTGGTTTTCACAGTATGGCCATGCTAAGGTTGTGAAACAAAAGGGAAAGATTTTTTATTAGATGTCACACTTTAATTGGCCAAAATCACATCTATTATGAGAGCTTCTCAGTTTGACTTCTTCTTCATTAAGAAAAAATAACTTGGCAAGTTATAGACATTCAGGATAAATCTGCCCTTTTTGTGTAATAATGGTATATTATCCGCTGTATGCCTCTACTTCATATATACTTATTTTTCTTATTTTAAAGATGATGTATCTGGCCTCAGGCTTGTGCTGTGTCGGTGCCCTGGCTGGTCTGTACACCCAAGGAACTGCTCGTCTGGGCAACGCTTTGGGCATGATTGGTGTTGCTGGAGGTTTAGCAGCAACTCTTGGAGGCCTCCAGCCATCACCCGAGTTGTTGGTTCAGATGTCAGGAGCCATGGCACTTGGTGGTACAGTAGGTATGCATATTATAATATAAACATATATTTTAATATGCACTATATGTGCATTTATGCAGGCTTTGTGTATGCATAGTATTGTAGAGGACCAAGGTGAAATGAATAATTATGTTTATGACTTGCTTATGTTATTTTTGCAAGTAAATCAGAGAATTGTAAGTCCCAGGGCTTTAATTAATGCATTCAATGAAGAAAGGGGGGACTAGCAGGACATCAAGAATGCAAAATGTCTCTATACTGGTTAAGAAAACTGGATGTGCACAGGTTAGTCTGCTCAAGCCTATGTTTAAGTTTAGTTGCTGACTGAATACTGTCAAATTCTTTTTTCGTGCTATGCTGTCTTCATAGAAAATATTTGTTTTCCCAGTACTTAATGAAATTTTATTACTTTGTTTACTTTAATCTTCTTTCTAATTTGCCTGATATTCTCATTGCACAAAATAGATGTCTTCCAGTTAAATGCTGTAGTGGTAGAGGAGCTATGAGCGTACATGTACTGACTGCATGTCGAAAATGCATCGGTTGGATTGCACAGGCTAATTGTGTTATAACCCTTCCTCTCCATCTTCATCTTTTCAATAGGCTTAACAATTGCTAAACACATCCAGATTTCAGATTTGCCTCAGCTAGTTGCTGCTTTCCACAGTTTGGTGGGTTTGGCTGCCGTTCTCACCTGTGTGGCAGAATTCATGATTGAGTATCCTCACTTTGCTACGGATCCAGCTGCCAACCTCACCAAGATTGTAGCATACCTTGGGACATACATTGGCGGAGTCACTTTCAGTGGCTCTCTTGTTGCTTATGGAAAACTGCAAGCTAAGACTTCCCATGCAGAACTAAGTAGTATTATTATATATTTTTTTAAAGTTTGTTCTTTGTGTTTTAGCTCTGCCTTTAAACTTATGTAATTGGAAAGAAACCTTGTATTGTGCAGCAGGAAAAATGTTATGTTTAATTTCTGTGACTTTTCTCTTTTTAATTCTGTTTCTGCTTTGTGAACTAACTTTATGAATGGTTTGTATTCAGTGTTTGGTCAAGATCTCGAAGGGAAGGGCTCTGGAG